TGTGCTCAATAAATGCATTCTTAGACGTAGGGACAAAAAAAATTAAGTGTATTTTAAGAAAATATATTTTAAAATTACTTTTACGGTTTTTGGTCATTTATTATTTCGAATACGTTACAGTTTTCATGGTCACTGATGACAGCACCTCGTACACCCATGACCACGAAAACATATCGTCGAGATTTTGCTATTGCCCTAACTTCAGTATATTAATACGCTTTTATTAGCTTCAGACGTATGTATGTATGTTTGTAACGGAGTCTTTGAACATGATTTTGACCCCCTTCAAAACATCGGATTAACTCGAAATTTGGTAAACTTATTAAGGACCGATGACAATTCAATATAAATAAAAATGAAAAAAAATTGAAATTCAACTAAAAAATGAAAAATCAATAATAGTTTAAAAAAACTAACAAAATACGCTTTTATAGAAAATCCAACTAAAAAATTGAAAATAAATTTTAATAAATTTGAATTAAAAATAGTGTAGTAAAAAAAATGATTTTATTGTAAAAAAGCGTGGGGTGCATGGTATAAGTAGTTATAAATATTTTATGCACAGACATGAGTAGAAGGGCTATTTCGATAATATCCTGAAAAGCACCCCACGTTTTTTCACAATAAAATCATTTTTTCTGACACTATTTTTTTATTCTAAAGATCATTTCTCGACTTACAAGTTTTATTTCGCATTGAAAGAAATTGATTAATTCAATTAATGTTTGGTTCCGCAGAGTAATGAAAAATTTAATCAGACATCTCGCTATCGGGATCCCATCCTTGAACAATCCCGTCAGAAGTGAACGAGAATTCTAAGAATTCTCATAATCGCTTTCAAAATTATTATTAAATTTGCAATATCATCGGCCTTAGCCGCTTCAATCAGCCATCAATGAATGGATACTCGATCGATTTATATTAAATTTTAATTAGAAACACTCCGATACTCCACTCCAACTGATGTGTAATTTTCTTCGATTATCCCGAGTCATTGAGTTCGTAATACTAAAAATTAATTTTATAGTTTAATCTTGCACTAGAGGTCCTGCAGTAGTCGAAATTCGACTATAATTAATTGGAATTGTAAGTTTGTACACTATTATGATTGTATTTTATACTTCTATAATCACAAATTGCGCCAAGGCTACACTATAAAAAATATTAACAAAGACAATCAATATTTAATCTATTCTCAATTTGACCACAGACGTCAAGAACAAAAGTTTGACAATAAATAGTATGCATGCGTGTGTGCGTCAAATACATGGTATGTAGTGTGTGTAATGTTTTCTTTATTGATTGAATGTATCTTTTATGCATTATTTAAAAAAATATTAGCATTGTGGACTTCATCTCTATATTCTCTATAAGTGTGGAAAATTTCATGCTCCTCCGTCCGCGCAATTTTCGTAAAAAGGGATACAAAGTTTTTGCTTTACGTATTAATATATAGATTCGTTATAGTCATTATACATATTATTTCAAACATTTCGAATACTTTACAGCTAGTAATTAGTAAAGTAATTAAAAAAAATATATTTAAAATTTTTTAAACATCACCGGTTGTTATACGTATAGATATGTCTCCGTACATGCCGTACTGCGGAAGTGATTATTATTTAAACTCATTTAAACTGTCACTTTTGAAGATAAACAAATATTTTCTGGGTCTATTAATTTATTTATTTATTTATTGCTTAGATGGATGGACGAACTCACGGTCCACTGGGTGTGTTACCGGAACCCATAGACATCTACAACGTAAATGCCGCCTAAATTGAGACATGAGTTGTAAGATCTCACTTTGAACAGTACTACGGCTGCCCCAGCCTTCAAACCGAAACGCATTACTTAACGCATTGCTTCACGGCAGAAATAGGGTGGTGGTTCCTACCCGCGGGTACTCACAAGACGTCGTGCCATCAGTAATTACGCAGACTATAATTTTGCGGCAAATCATCGCGTTTCACTAAAGACTTCGTGACTTTTTTATTTACTGTATAGAGGGTGAACTAGTTCACGACACAGTCGGTAATAAGTGTTTATTGTAGCCAATAGACATGACAACGTGATTACCGTCGCCTTGAGATATGAAGTTTAAGTTTAACATGTATAACGCCTGTCTCAAATCTTCAACTCAGATTATGAATTATCGATTGAACATATTTTAAAATTATAGAGTCGAAAATACATTAAACAGTTTGATAACGTACATAACCTCATTCGGAAGTGTTCTCAATAAATACCTACTATTGAATCCATGTAACTAGTCCTTAAAGCCTTCGTCAAACAGAACGCGTACTTAGCGCCGCGTACTTAACGTCGCGCTCTTCTAATAGACTAGATGAGTCTAACGCTCCTTGACGCAACGCATTCGCCAAATCATAGTGCCATTCGATAGCAGTGTAAAAATTTAAAGGTATTATGAAATCGAGTGATTCAGATGTGGCATTGTATAAGCATGGGTATTTTCTAACTATTTATATCATTTTTTCGGGCATTATCTAGTATTTTAATACACATTCACTCGGACGCTAAAATAAAATTTGTAAAAAATTAGAACGCCTGACGTCAAAGCGTCCTAACGCCGCGACAGAGCGCAGCGTACTTATAGCGCTGGGGCTCTGTTTGACGGTATGTTACCATAGTAGTACAACACATCTCGGCGTCATAGCGCGACGTCCGTTTAGCGCTCTGACGCGCGCTAATTACGCGTTCTGTTTGACGAAGGCTTAAATAATTATGTTACGGTTAATTCGACAATGGTCATTCTTAGCGATAACGGCCCTTATTCTAGTTTTACTGGTGGTAGGACCTATTGTGAGTCCGCGCGGGTAGGTACCACCACCCTGCCTATTTCTGCCGTGAAGCAGTAATGCGTTTCGTTTTCAAGGGTGGGGCAGCCGTTGTAACTATACTTGAGACCTTAGAACTTATATCTCAATGTGGGTGGCGTCGTAGATGTCTATGGGCTCTAGTAACCACTTAACACCAGGTGGGCTGTGAGCTCGTCCATCCATCTAGCAATTAAAAAAAAAAGTTTAAAGTTTGTCGATACTTCCTTTGAAAAATTCGATTTTCATATCAAAGGCAGCTGTAATAAACGCCTTTTACTACGAAACCTACGTTTTCTTGTGGGTAATTAATCGAATTTTCATTTGAGGCTTTATAAACTGCTGTATTGGTTTTTCTTTGAGCAATACGTACATAATGGGAGTTGTTTGTGACATTTTTTTAGATCTATTATTTAGAGCTTGGAGAAAATGATACGCTATCCATGGATTGACACGCGGTAAATTTTTAATAATTAAACGTCCGACATATTATCTTTGAAACAAGTAGCTGGGCCAGGATGGTTACGTACAGCAAAGGACAGAAGCAAATGGATATCCTTAGAGGAAGCCTTTGTCGAAAGACAAGCTGTTAAGAGGAGAGATAACCCGAATGCCGGGATATGTTTTAGTATAAGTTAATTTTATAGTTTTCTTACCTCTATTGTTATCATTTTATGTTTAGTTAAATAAGTTAAACTCTAACAGCAATAAAGGCTTATTTATTATTATATTATCTTTTGATATAGGTGGGCGTGTCGTAGGTAGTCGTCTAATGAGAAAGTAATTCCCGACCGAGTAACTAACAAAACTTCTTAGTAAATTATTATTAAAAAATACTTTGTTTTTGGTGACCCACCCACCTGATGGTGAGTGTCGCCCAGGGACGTCAGCAATGCCGGGGGCAGAGCCAAGCGCCTGCCTAACGAATAAAAAGAAAATTTACTAGCAAAAAAAACCACTTACATACATACATCTGACTTATATTTACAAAAGAAAGTGCGCTAATTATTCTTTATAATTTAAGACTAAACAAATTAAGTGCTAGTAGGCGTTTTATTACGCATATTGTTTTTTTGGAACGAAGTTCCTTACGGGACGATGCGGAGGGCTACCATAAAAGGGAAAAAACGTCCGTAACGTAAGATTTTTATTAGTAATGCACACCGTGTACGACTTAACTTTGTAATAACGTACAAAAAATAACATATTTTATTATATATTTTTTATAAATCATTGTGAATAAAATAAAGTTGATAGCTACTTTGTAAAGTAGTTTTTTTTTTCAATATAAAAATTAAAATAAAAAATGTATAGCCGAATAATTATTTTCTTTATACCTCGAATAGAACTTAAAATTTGATATTTTTATAATAAGGAACTTCGTTCCTATCCGGTGTCTCAGGACACCACACATATTTTTTTTAATTACACACAATAAATCTTACTTAAGTCTATTATACACAACGCCTACGGTAGACTAACTAGGAAAGAACGTCTTTGGTATCAAACACAACCATGATACTAAATATACACCAAATTAAGAATCATTGGTTCGAAGTTCCGCACTTGTTTTCGACGTGACAACGTCTTATAATTCGATAGAGCCGGCTGCACGCACGAAAAAACATAACTCATTGAGGCGTTCCATTTAAGGCTTGAAGTGCAAGCGAGAGCGCGCAACGAGCGACAAAGAGGCACAATCGGCGTCCGCGTTCGGCAGCGTTCGACATCTGTATCTCTCCTACTTGAGTGAGCGATGCTTCCGCGTGGGCAGCTGCTATACAATAATACATTTGTATATTTTCGTCAAGTATGAAGTTCAGTGAAAAGTGAATGTGGTGTCAATTATCCATACAAAATATCCATAATAATAATAAATATCCATAATAAGCCATTCCATCTGTTAGCGATGCGTTGAATATAAATTTGGAGTTGTGATTTGGATCTATTTGGATGGAACTAAAGTTTTGTCATCCGACGCCACTATAGAAAATAAATATTTTTTTCACAAAAAGCCTCTGTTAGTGCATTCCACAAACCTACGAACCAACATAAATTACACCATCAGTATTTTCTTATGACGTTGTCACGTTCAACTGTCGTCAGTAAACCGACTTTACAGACAACCGATTTTTTTGTTTGTTTTACTTCACTATTTCATGTTCACGTCGCAAACACGATGTCATCTGGTCGCGAGCACGAAGGCAGGTGGGCTCTCAGAACGTCTGCTGAAGTCGACTTGACGCAGTTGTTCATGTGGATGTCGGAGGACGCGTTCGAATGGTGCTGGTCGCGACGCGGCCTGCGACAACAATAGCGGCGGGCCACGTCACCGCACAGCGACCTGTTGGGAGGAGAGGAAAGCTTAACTTGTGTAATGGTACCTAAAGACACGCTCGTGAGTCGTATAGGCGACCCACGTCTTAAAAGCTTAAGGAACCCGTGCCAAGTTAAGGAACTTGGCACGGGTTGGGCCTCAGGGCAATCTCCTCTGCCCGGGCTTGAACTCTGTCTAACGAAGCAGGGGTGATGATTATGCTTGTTGGCCATTTTCTTGAAGCGATGAAGTGATGTGGTTGAAGATGTGATGAGGTAATGAGACGTTGAAATGAATGGTGATGAGTTTGTTTTATGAGATGAGTGACGATGATGATCTGTATGGTTCTGATCATATAATGGTGGGTAAATGTGAGGCGCATGATATCTGCCCACAGCAATTATACTGACTGACTATTCAGACCGCTCTGACAAGACACGTCATTACGGATCCTCCCGATCCACTAACGGTGCTTTTAGGTAGCTCAAGCACCAGGCATCGTCCTCGTCGAATCCATCGCTTGCGACGAAGGACTAGTAAAATAACCCACAGACGCAGCCCACTGAGTTTCTCGCCGGATCTTCTTTGTGAGTCGCGTTTCCGATCCGGTGGTAGTAAAGCAAAGTAATTACTGGTGGTAGGACCTGTTGTGAGTCCGCACGGGTATGTACCACCATCCTGCCTATTTCTGCCGTGAAGCAGTAATGCGTTTCGGTTTGAAGGGTAGGGCAGCCGTTGTAACTATACTTGAGACCTTAGAACTTATATCTCAAGGTGGGTGGCGCATTTACATTGTAGATGTCTATGGTCTCCAGTAACCACTTAACACCAGGTGGGCTGTGAGCTCGTCTATATACTATATGCTATTATATTATAGCGTAATCTGAAAGGGGCTTAATTAGGTACCTAAGAGAAAACTTGTCTAAAGCCTTCAAAGGTCCACATTGCTCAGCTCAATGGTTTAAACTATCAAAGTTGTGCTATTTATTGGAGGGTCCCGGGATAATGAAGGTTCGGCACCCCTAAATGTTTCTCATATCTGCCCGTGTGCATTGACGTCTGATGTAATTGAAGATTAAAGAGATATTTAATATATAGTATATAACTATACATGTAATATATCCCGTAAAGTTTCCATCTATCATCTAATAACTACATTAACAATACAAAAAAAAAAAAATGTATCTCAGATTTTTTAAGCCGTCGTGGCCTAAAGGATAACACGCCCGGTGCATATGTAGCGATGTATCGGTGCTCGAATCCCGCAGGCGGGTACCAATTTTTCTAATGAAATACGTACTTAACAAATGTTCACGATTGACCTCCACGGTGTAGGAATAGCATCGCGTAATAAAAGTCAAACCCGCAGAATTATAATTTGCGTAATTACTGATGGTAGGACGTCTTGTGAGTCCGCACGGGTAGGTACCATCACATCGCCTATTTCTGCCGTGATGCGTGTCGGTCTGAAGGCATTTAAGATCAGGTGGGCCGTGAGCTCGTCCACACATCAAAGCAATAAAAGAATAATTAAAACTTTCTGTATTCTTATCAAAAAAAAAAACATGAAGATACTGGGTATAAAAAACGTAATACCAATATTAGTTTGGTATAACTTTATACCAGAAAAAAAACGGGCATACCGTTGCTCATGTGCTACAAATTCATCACTTATCCACGGAATCGATTTCATTCACAGTACTTTTCTACACACTCCAGGCGACAATATAATATAATAATCTAATAATACCTACTATTAGTTCGTAATTTCTATTTCAAGTAATCGTATAAAAACAATTATGATTGTATACCCGACGATTCTCAAAGTTTAATCTAGAATCACTTAGCATTTTGTAATTTTATTTGAATTTCTAATTTCCTTTGATTAATTACGCTGAATTGTTCGTGCCTCGAATTTTTCCCTTTTAGGGCACACGGTTGTTTCAAAATTAGGCAGTTAATAACAGAGAATGGTTTTGATTTTCCCAGGAGGAGGGTACGCATCATTTTTCTTAACTTTATTACGTTGTCGGGGGTATATATAACTCGATCACAGAGGAAGTCATAAACATCGCAATCACCCTTTGAGACACGAGGATGAAGTCTAGATAGTATTTTATGACGACTGTCCCGAACTTCGCGGTAGAAATAGGTAGTTGTGACGCTCATGAGGGCTCACAAGACGCCCCTCCAGAAAATGCCGGCTGGTGATGGCACCATGAGGGCATAATGTCCAGAGAAGGCTGTTGTCAATTCCCCGGCAAATACCTCAGTCGTCGTTTGCAACAAACACAGGAAGGGATGGGGTGGTGCTATCCTACGCCGACACCACGCATGCCAGTTAAAGTTTGTTGACGGTTGACTAATGATATTAGCCCACTGAGTTTCTCGCCGGATCTTCTCAGTGGGTCGCGTTACCGAACCGGAGGTAGATTCTACGAAGCACCACCCTTGCTAGGGCCAGTGTTAGCAACACTCCCGGTTTGAGCCCCGTGAGCTCACCTACACATCAAGGACAATCTAAAATAGCCTCTCAAGGCTATCAGTATCCTGATAGGATTTCGCTAGGAAAAAAAAAAGGTGGTTTGATAATAAAGTTAAACCTGTCTGATTCCAAGGTTTCATTTAAGAAAAATCCACTGTAAGACCATATCGAGGGGTGAAATGCTAGCTATTTGGTTAACGCGACATTTTTGCAACTTTACAGTTTAAAATTTGAAAAATATCTCGCAAAGAAAAATTTCTTCAGCTATTTCAATAGAATAAACTTAATTGAAGTTCAATTAAAAACATCGAACTGTCAATGCTAAATACCAAATAAAATGACGCATATTAAGCGAAATGTCACTTAAAAGCAGGTAGGCAGCGGCTTGGCTCGACCCCTGGCATTGCTGAAGTCCATGGGCGACGGTAACCACTCACCATGAGGTGGGCCGTATGCTCGTCTGCCTACAAAGGCAATAAAAAAAAAATATCCTTTCACCCCTAGATATCAAGAGACTCTTAAGTTTTTATTACATAGCAAATATCTCACCTGCAGCAAGAATCCAAGGTCTTTCGGAACGCCGCTCTGAAATCTCTGTTGAAATACGCATAGATGAGCGGGTTGAGTGCGGAGTTGAAATACCCCACCCAGAAGACCGCAGCCACCACCGGCGGAGGCGATGGACAGTCATCCCCACAAAGAGCTGTTATAATATACCTGTACACGAAAAACATTTCCAAGTAGAATCCAGTAAGCAATGCGGTTGCTATTAGTTTAACATTTGAGTGGTTTTTGTTTTTATTGCTTATATAGGTGGACGAGCTCACAGCCCACCTGTTGTTAAGTGGTTACTGGAGGCCATAGACATCTACAACGTAAATGCGCCACCCACCATGACATATAAGTTCTAAGGCCTCAGTATAGTTACAACGGCTGCACCACCCTTCAAACCGAAACGCATTCTACTTCAGTGCAGAAATAGGTAGGGTGGTGGTACCTACCCGTGCGGACTCACAGGAGGTCCTACCACCAGTGAAAATAATAGCAGTTTAAATAAGATGCTTTTTTATGTTTTCTTTAAATAAAAACTCTTGACTAGCTCGAAGTTTTAGACGTGACTAACCATTTTATTCTTATTCTTGCCCTAATTCTATATTATGTGGGGTTGGCACAACATATGCTCTATCAGGCTACGTAGGGTTTTACGACCGGCCTACCTGACGTCAAGCCTTCTTGGGTTATTATATACCTCTAGTAGTATATCAATTGCAACGTGCCATAGAGAGAGACATTTATGTTTCTTCTTTAGGTGTTTCCTTTCGCTTGATCCGGTTTTTCTTTAATGATTTTCCTTTTTTTATTATAAATTATACGAAAATTTTTAGTTTAGTATTATAGGTCTTTCTCACGGAAGAACTTGATAATTCTGACCCTAGCAAGAGCAATACTTCGCAGAATCTACCACCGGATCTGAATCACGATCCACTGAGACGATCCGATGAGAAACTCGGTGGGTGATTTTCAAATACCAAATAATAAAAATTTCAAAAAATTCTATTGTTTATCTGTATTTTCATGAAACATGACCAACTAACTGTCATCTATAAATCTACTAGATAGATAATACGTGACAAGTTATTTAGATAATTAGGTCACAAAAAGCGCTTCTTTTTAATACGTTTTTATTAGCTTCAGACGTATGTATGTTAGTAACGGAATCTTTGAACATGATTTTGACCCTCTTCAAAACGTCGGGTTAACTCGAAACTTTGCTACACTTATTAAGGACCGATGCCAATTCAATACTTAAAAAAATTGAAAAATTTGAAATTCAACTAAAAAATGAAAGTAAATAATATTTTAAAAAAACTAACAAAATACGCTTTTATAGAAAACCCAACTAAAAAATAGAAAATAAATTTTAATACATTTTAAGTAAAAATAGTGTATGAAAAAATGATTTTATTGTAAAAGAGCGTGGGGTGCTTTTCAGGATATTATCAAAATAACCCTTCTACTCATATCTGTTCATAAAATATTTATAACTACTGATAACCCACGTTTTTTTTACATAAAAATCATTTTATCTCCTACCTACGCCAAAAGTTTGGTTTTCGTCCCGCTGTAAAAGGAAGAAAGTCTAACTTTTTCTCCCTGGGTTCTGACAAGTGCGCTTGCGCGTTAGTGTCTCCGTCTGCTCTCACACACCTAAAATTCTCCGCCATTGTTGTGCTCGGTTAATTTGCAATATTGTGTTTAGTGTAAAAGTGAAATAAACAAAAGGCAATAAAATTTAATAGTGAAGTATTAAACAAATATGAGTTCATCAGATAGCTGTTATTCAATTAGTAGTAGTTTATTTAAAAATTAAAAAGCAGCTAAATTGTTTTTTTATGTGTCCCCCCCGCCAGGGCTTCGCCCCTGGACCCCAGTTCGGTACTCCACGAGTGCTAAGTTTTTTACAATGTCGAACATTCGGCCTGGTAGGAGAAATCAATTTTTCTTACACTATTTTTAATTCAAATTTATTAAGATTTTTTTTCTATTTTTTAGTTGGATTTTCTATAAAAGCGTATTTTGTAATTTTTTTTTAAGCTTTTATTTATTTTTAATAGAAATCTTCATTTGCTGATTGACAAACGGGGAACGTATAACTAACTCACTCACCACAAGAAGAAAGGTAGCCAGCAGGCCAAAAATGCTGACATGATGATCCCCAAAGTTCTGGCCGCCTTTCGTTCCCTCTTCATTTTGCTGCTCGCCATCGGCTGCATTTGGATACTGGTGCGTTCTCGCATCACCTCGCCCATGGAGATGCCGTTGATTTGCAAATGCTTATCTAGCAGCAACGCGGCCACCTTACTCCTGTCAGGAAATACACTTAGAAATAATTTTGAGAGAATTAGAACAATAATGAATGAATTAGCCTGATGGAAGACTAACTCGTTCACAATCTGTACTCAGTAATCTATACTAATATTATAAAGCTGAAGAGTTTGTTTGTTTGAACGCGCTAATTTCAGGAACTGCTGGTCCGGTTTTAATAATTCTTTCATTGTTAGATAGCCCATTTATTGAGGAAGGCTATAGGCTATATAACATCACGCTAAGACCAATACAAACGGATTACCAATAAAGAATGTTTCAAAATCGGGGTATTTTTCCCTTTTGAGAGCTTCCGCTGCGTGCGCTGTGGAAACGAAGAAACGGATCTAAAAAAAAGTCCGCCGCAGCATAGTTCTATATGTTAAGGTTGGCTCACTATAACGTTTTTTATGCTAACCAAATTTGTTCTAAAATAAAACATTATTTGTGAAGGTGTTTTTATAAAGATTATATTAATCCCTATCCAAACAAATACGTTATTCATTACAACATTGAAACACCCAAAACACTTCAATTATAGATTTTCTTGGATTTCTCCAGGATCTCAAATCTCAAATCCTTTCGAACAAAAAAAAAGGAAAAATAAATACAAGAATCGGTTCAAGCATTCTCGAGAAATCGGTGAACATACATATAGACAAAAAAAGAATATGGTCGAATTGATAGCTTCCTCTTTTGAAGTCGGTTAATAAGTGTGATTTTGGTACCTTATATAGCTCCTTTACATTCCCTATTATTCAAAAATATTTTCACTTTCTACGTGAATTAAGAGGCGCGCAAAATTTGGCGTTATGCCAAAGTAAGTATTCCACGCGGACGAAGTCGCGGGCAAAAGCTAGTGAGAAATAAAAATATTTTATTACTGCTGAACTAAACAATTCTGTCTCTAGAGTAGATCTTTCATATGCCCCTTTAGAACATACTATGTTTATCTAAGAAAATGAACAACGCTTTTAAAAATAAAAGCATAAAACTCTATTAAAGCTAAAATTGCGTATTGTGTAGTCAATTATGAAATCTAGTTTTCATTTGCAAAACAAAATATCTGCCTATCAAATAGGCCTATCAATATATCTAATATTTTTTACTGGTGGTAGGACCTCTTGTGAGTCCGCGCGGGTAGGTACCATCACCCTGCCTATTTCTGCCGTGAAGCTGTAATGCGTTTCGGTTCGAAGGGTGGGGCAGCCGTTGAACTTATATCTCAAGTCGGTGGCGCATTTAAGTTGTAGTTGTCAATGGGCTCCACAGTAACCACTTAACACCAGGTGGGCTGTGAGCTCGTCCATCCATCCAAGCAATAAAAAATAGGTTGTAAATTAGAAACAAAAAAAAAATTGCAGTTCAAAATTGAAATGTCAATAACACATTAATTGTCTCTAACCACAAAAACTGTTATGTATTCGAAACATCAGGAATGATAATACGGAAATGTGAAACGCGAGATTGAACCACAATGTAGCTTTAATTATATCTACGCCTCATTAAAATCAAAAAAGCACTAGATATAGATATCTAAGCCATACAATTTTAAAGTGGAGACGTAATTTTAAAAGGTACACTGCCGGCCAAAAATTTAAGTCCGCACTGAAACAAAATAATTAGGTATCTATCAATTGTAATTCTAATGAAATACGTACTCAACAAATGTTCACGATTGACTTCCACGGTGAAGGAATAACATCGTGTAATAAAAATCAAACCCAACAAAATTATAATTTGCATAATTACTGGTGGTAGGACCTCTTGTGAGTCGCTTAGATGGGTGGACGAGCTCACAGCCCACCTGGTGTTAAGTGGTTACTGGAGCCCATAGACATCCACAACGTAAATGCGCCACCCACCTTGAGATACAAGTTCTAAGGTCTCAAGTATAGTTACAACGGCTGCCCCACCCTTCAAACCGAAACGCATTACTGCTTCACGGCAGAAATAGGCAGGGTGGTGGTACCCACNTTAAGTGGTTACTGGAGCCCATAGACATCCACAACGTAAATGCGCCACCCACCTTGAGATACAAGTTCTAAGGTCTCAAGTATAGTTACAACGGCTGCCCCACCCTTCAAACCGAAACGCATTACTGCTTCACGGCAGAAATAGGCAGGGTGGTGGTACCCACCCGCGCGGACTCACAAGAGGTCCTACCACCAGTAATTACGCAAATTATAAATTTGCGGGTTTCTTTCTGTCATCGTTGTTTTACATAATGAAAGCAAATCCGACGTATATAGTGCATTAGTCAATGACTTCTTTAACAAAGGTATACATTTATATATATTAACTAGCGGACCGCCCTTACTTCGCTTCGGAAACATTAAATTTTATTATTGATGGTAGCTGAGTCCCGCGATGCTACCCGCGGTTATTGTCGTACCGCGGGTGACGCTGAGGGGCGAAGCTAGTCTAAAAAAAGTAGTCTAAATTACTCCTTATATCATCAGCTACCTATCAGGGAAAGTCTCGTCAAAATCGGTCCAGCCATTCCAGAGATTAGCCGCAACAAACAGACAGATAGGCAGACATACAGACAGACAAAAATAGTAAAAAATGTGATTTTGATGTATGTACCGTATATATATTCATATAGACGCTTGAAAGGCAAACGTGACTAAGCGACAATGCGTGAACTTTACAGTAGACTAATTAAAAAGCTTAAATACCTGAAAAAATAATAATTAACGAATCTATCTGTAGGATTAAAATTATTTTAATAGACCTAGAAATATACCTAGTCAGGTCATAAGTATTGTCACACAGTAAAAACTTTTCTTTTAGAATGCTGGCCACAAAAAAGGTTATTGAATTCGAATTTCGAATTGTTCATGAAAATAAAAATGTATACTTTTAGAATTTTACTCATTTTTAAATATGGAGTGGATGCTTAAAGAAGACCGTGTTGCAGTTATTGCGTTGCATCGTTGCGGTTACGCACCAATTCAAATTTTTAACATACTGAAAAATTTGAATATAACCAAAAGATTCGTTTATCGCACCATCAAACGATACAATGAAGACTCTAGTGTAGATGACAGGTCAAGAAGTGGTCGCCCTCGGTCTGTTAGGACTCCAGCAGTGATAAAAGCTGTGAAGGCGCGAATTCAAAGAAATCCCAAACGTAAGCAGAAACTGTTGGCCCTTCAGATGGGGTTAAGCAGAACCACGGTGAAAAGGGTGTTAAATGAAGACTTAGGGCTTCGGGCATATCGAAGAAAAACAGGACATCGTTTGAATGCTCGTCTAATGGACCTGAGACTGAAGAGATGCCGCGCTTTGTTGAAGCGGTACGCGGGAAAAAAATATCGGGAAATTCTTTTTTCGGATGAAAAAATTTTTACCGTAGAAGAGAGCTACAACAAACAAAATGATAAGGTGTACGCACACAGTAGTGAAGAAGCGAACAACCGTATTCCGCGTGTCCAACGAGATCATTTTCCATCCTCGCTCATGGTATGGTTGGGAGTTTCTTATTGGGGCTTAATAGAGGTACATTTTTGTGAGAAAGGTGTAAAAACGAACGTGTATCAAAATACAGTCCTGACGAACCTTGTGGAACCTGTTTCTCATACCATGTTCAATAACAGGCACTGGGTATTCCAACAAGATTCGGCGCCAGCTCATAGAGCGAAGAGCACACATGACTGGCTGGCGGCGCGTGAAATCGACTTCATCCGGCACCAAGACTGGCCCTCCTCCAGTCCAGATTTGAATCCGTTAGATTACAAGATATGGCAACACTTGGAGGAAAAGGCGTGCTCAAAGCCTCATCCCAATTTGGAGTCACTCAAGACATCCTTGATTAAGGCAGCCGCCGTTATTGACATGGACCTTGTTCATTTTGGTATATGAATGGTTACATAATGAATAAACTTGTTTCAATTATTTTACATTAAACATGTGACAGAATTTATGACCTGACTAGGTATATTTTTTGCGCATCGAATATGGTTATTGCCTATCATTTATGTACAAAGCAGTTATTGTCGCTTAGTCGCGTTTGCCTTTTAAGCGTCGATATGCATGTAGTAAAAAGCGGTTATTTCTATATTACAAACAGACACTCCAATTTTATTTATATATATAGATTACATAAATAAATAGAATTATGAAATAATATTTAAACAAAGGGCTTCGGTTTCGATTGCGGCTTTACAAGAGATTGTCAAGTGGCTCTAAACAAAAGCCATGGACCTTTTCCCTTCGAGGCAAATAGCTGAGGTCGTTCAAGAGCCCTTGAAAGGGTATGTAACAAGCCCTAAAACCACCCGAAGGTTTTGGCATATTTTATATGAGATTTCATTTGTCATCTATCGCAACAAATACCTCAACTCATTTTCATTCAATCCAAAGAGCGTTTAAGCCAATTGTACCTTAATAATAAGGTTCGTATTCTGTTTTGTATGAGACTAGCGACCCGCCCTCACTTCGCTTCGGCAACTGTAATTTATTATTGATTTCTCTACTATTTAATGGATGTTATTATACAAATAAACCTTCCTCTTCAATCACTCTATCTATTAAAAAAAAACCGCATCAAAATCTGTTGCGTAATTTCAAAGATTTAAGCATACATAAGGACAGACAGATATAGGGACAGAGAAAGCGACTTTGTTTTATACTATGTAGTGATTATAACCCTATAATCTCATTGGTACCCACCAATGTTGAGGATTCCCTCATAAAAAAAAACACATCCTATGTCAATTTTTTTTAAATCTAACTGTCGATGCTATATAACTTTTGCACGCATACCTTGTGAATGTTACATTCTGCATTGCGTCGGAATTTTTAAACAGTATCGGAAAAATAAATCTAAATGACTAGTACATAATAGTACATAAGTACATAAGCATAATCAGTGTTTTATATATAATTTTTTTTTATTGCCTTTGTAGGCAGACGGGCATACGGCCCACCTGATGGTGAGTGGTTACCGTCGCCCATGGACTTCAGCAATGCCAGGGGCAGAGCCAAGCCGCTGC